AACCAAACTAGTAGTAGTAAAAAAAAAAAAATAGTAATAGTAAATGTTGAAATTAACACACTCTTAAGAAGGAACAATACTTACACAGCTTTCATTAATCTTAATGCTACAAATGGACTCTTATTTTAAAGTGTTACCATTTCCAAAAAACGGAGCAAATGGAAAGAGAAAGCGCGACCTATATTATAGCTCTATAAATGAAGCACACAGACTTTATTAGAGCCACAGAAAGCCAACCGTTTTGCTGAAAATGCACAATACACATTTAATTATGTACATTAACAACGATTCGGGACCAATATAATGTAATTTAAAGGAAAACTATGTGAATGGCGCTCTGTGGCACGGCAGGATTTTCTGTCGGCTGCATTTAAACCCGCGTCTGAAGTTTCCCGCTCTGTTCAGCATGCAGTATCACGTGTCTAAACATATTAGCACGTGCTGTCAGTGATTTCAACCACTAGAGGCCGCTCTCACACTGTATAACGACAGCAGACCCTTCTCAGCCGCTCTAGCAATGGACGCAACCCGGAAAACTATTGGCATGGATTTTTGACGATAACCGATTGTTCCAGCAATCAACTATCGGTGCCGATTAATCGGCAAAACCGATACATCGGTCGACCTCTAGTCTTTACGTATACAAATGCATCAGTCCAAAAGAAGTTAAATAAAAAGCGCATGAATCCTTAATAAAAAGTGTCTCACACGGATCCGGGGGGTGTACAAAGGCCTCCTGTAGCGAATCGATGCGTTTTTGTAAGAAAAATATCCATATTCAAAACGTAATAATCACTTTAATCTAGCATATACATTCTCCCAAGGTGTGAGTCCTCCGGTGCACAAGTATTTCACCCAGTCTGAACACTCTTGAACACCTGCGGTGGATTCTGTAGAGACGAGTTGAGCGAGGGGGTTTAAGAGCTCGTCCTCCAGGAGTTAAACAGCACAGATAGGAATATTTGCCAAGAAGGGTCAGAGCAGTATACTCAAAATTATGGAGGACATATGAAGTACTAGAATATTATACATTTGTTGAATTGAATATAGGGTGTACACTGCAAAAAATGCTTTTCTTACTTAGATTTTTTGTCTTGTTTCCAGCCAAAATATCTAAAAATACTTAAATCAAGAAGGATTTTCTAGACAAGTAAAAATTATTGTCTTGTTTTCAGAAAAAAACAAGTCAAATTTAAATGAATTTTTGCTTAGAACAAGCAAAATAATCTGCCGATGGGGTAAGCAAAATAATCTTATTTCAAACATAAAACAATATTATTTTGCTTGTTTCAAGCAAAGACTTACTTATTTTTTCTGAAAACAAGACAATAATGTTTACTTGTCTAGAAAATCCTTCTTGATTTAAGAATGTTTAGATATTTTGGCTGGAAACGACAAAAAATCTAAGTAAGAAAGCATTTTTTGCAGTGTACTCATTTCAGCAATCCTTCATTCAAACAAAATTGGCTAATTTACTAATTTTACAGATATTTATGACATTTTAAGGATAAGTTTAATACATTTCAATTTCTCAATCTTTGCATGAATTGTATTAGTGATCATTAAGAAAATATGTCTTTTACGCCAGTTCAAGAGTATGGCAGCTCTCTTTCACCCCTGGATATTGATAGTATTTGTCATCTAACCCATGCTGTCAGTTCAGTTTCAGGCCTGATTTTAGATGTTGGTGTTTCTCCAGCAGAGTGCAGCAGAGCCAGCACATAACGTCCATCCGAGGCCTGCAGGATCTCCGTCCAGCTATGGCTGCTTTCTGCCCGACCTGCTGCACAAGAGCCCCTCGCACCAGCAGAGTGTCCTCGAGGTACAGCCTCAGATCACTGCAGTGTTTGATCAGCTGTTTCTGTTTAATCATGCACACACACACACTTGTGCAGTACTTCTGAATAATGGTGCAAATGGCATAAACCTGATTTAAATACTCTCCTCACATAAATATTGTGTCTGAAAGGGAAACTCGTACAAATGCATATGCAATAAGGTCAAAAATAACCGTCCATGCCTTTTCAGCGCTGATTTATCACCGTGCATCTTTAGTAACTCCTGACAGTAGTTTTTAATGGCAGAATAGGGTTTGTGCTGGTGAAAGCTGTTAGTAAATCTGGCCCAATGTCTTTTGTAGGGCATTTTAGACTGATGTGAGACTGTTTTAAGCCAGTTATCATTTTAATATAAGCTTAATAAAGTAAGCTAGTTCTCTGTGTATATACAGACTGTAATGTAAAGCTTATAATGTTTTAGATAAGTTATCCTAATAGTTTCAGTGAGCTCATGTTTACTGTTTAATTGTGTTATTTGCACATAGATGCATAAATATTCTCATCGGTCATTGACTTAAACTGTACTTGGATTAACATGTAAAACTGCATCTGTGAATGATCTCCTCATGATGTTTGTGTTGTTATTCTGCATTTACAGAAATTATTCAGTAGCCAGGCAGGAAAAAGCACATCATCTTCCTCTTCCTCATTCTCCCCTTTCATTGACCCTCGTTTGCTGCAGATCTCTCCACCTCAGAGTCCACAGGGATACATCCAGCGTGAGTCCCACGCCTGACACACACACACCTGACACATGAACAACACACTCTGTGTGTGTGTGTGTGTGTGTGTGTGTGTGTGTGTGTGTGTGTGTGTGAGTGTGTGAGTGAGTGAGTGAGTGTATGTGTGTGAGTGTGTGTGTGAGTGTGTGTGTGTGTGCGTGAGTGTGTGTGTGTGTGTTATGGGACATGTCCCCACAAAGATGGCAAAATCCTTGACATTTTTTGGTCCCCATGAGGAAACAAGCTAATAAATTGCACAGAATGAAGTGTTTTGAGAATCTAAAAAAGAGGGGTTGGTTTGGGTGTGGGGTTAGATTCAGGGGATAGAAAACACAGTTGGTACAGTAGAAAAACCATTGTGCCTTTGGGAAGTCCCTGTAAGCCACATATACCAATCAGTGACACCTGCACCTGACACATGAACAGACTCTCTCTCTCTCTGTGTGTGTGTGTCAGTGAACAGCAGGGATGAGCCGTGTGTCAGGCAGCCTCACAGGAAGGGCTCGGTGGTGAACGTCAACCCCACCAACATCCGTCCTCAGAGCGACGCCCCAGAGATACGCAAATATAAGAAGAAGTTCAACACTGAAATCCTCTGTGCCAGTCTGTGGGGTGAGACACATTCACACATCACCACAGCGCAGCAAGAACACTACTGATGTTAATAAAGACCACCTGTGTAAACCAAGTGTACAACAATACAAGAAATCAAACTGCACATCCCTGTTCTGATATCTGCATTACAGCCACTGTAGAACTGGGGAAAAGACTGTAATCAAATGCACGCTGTTTCATTATTACAGAACACAGCTGATTTGATGTGTATTTTATCAGCCGTTTATATAAAATTACAGAGCAAAATAATCAGAGATTAAAGTTACATTTCTTCTTGTTCTCCTTGGTGCAGCTTTATTATTACATTATTCTGTTGTCTGGTTAATTTCCAGATAAAAATTACCTGGTTTTAGCACAGTAATGATTTTCTAAACATGCTGTTTCTTTTGTGTTTTTCTTTTGTTTAAAGGGGTGGGTGATTGCGATTTCACTTTTTTAACTTGAGTTAGTGTGTAATGTTGCTGTTTGAGCATAAACAATATCTGCAAAGTTACGAAGCTGAAAGTTCAATGCAAATGGAGATTTCGTTTTTTAAAATTATGGCAGTTTAATGCCTACAAAAATGGCTCGTAGGGACTAAAACAAGCTACTTCCCGGGTTTGTGATGTAATAAACCCAGAAATTTACATAAATCCCGCCCCCGGGAACTATTGCAACAAATAGGGAGAGGCCATGTTGCGCTGCTTTAGAGAAGAGGAAGAGCCGTTGCCATGCCGTCAAAACTAGGGGTGCATGCATGAAAAAATATATTCATATATGAATCGTGATTCTGTCTTCTATTGTTCCAATTATACACTTTATGCGTATAGACAGACAGATATTTTTCACATAGCTATGAGAATCGTTAAACATGGATGCGCACACGGTTGCCGTACTGTATTAAAGCTTTAATCAGGATAAAACCGTATATTAAAGGAGACATATTATGCCCCTTTTTACAATATGTAATATAAGTCTCTGGTGTCCCCAGAATGTGTCTGTGAATCTTTAAATGCAAAATGAGCTGCTGCTCCCCACCCCTTTTTCCAGAATAGAGCTGCGCCTTTACAGCTCATACCTACTAAAACATCTGTTTTGGTTCTGATTATCATGTTTATCGGGCTGAAATCATAAGTTTTAAACAATATTAATTTCAACTTCTGTTTTCTGAGCGCACACATCCGAAGCACACGCACAGAAAGCGGCTGTCACAGCATGTGAGTACTAAACTAAGTTCTCATTCACACACAAGTTTACGTTAAAAACACACATGAGTTACAAAAACAGTCGGTTATGTCTGTGAAGGTAAACTGCTGGGAAATAAATCACATGTTTATTTTAGATCTGTGTGGCAGCAGCAATATACAGTAAATAAATCAATAAATCACTGCTCTGTTGTCTCCTCTGAGGCTGGGACTCTAAATAGTGTTCTGTGCTCGTCTGTGCAGCCAAAGACAGAACAGTTAGCATGTTTTGCTCAAACTTTCATCGTTGGCATTAGAGCTGGTACACCGTTGTCGCTTGCAAAAACACAATGACGGCGCTGTGGGTGTAAACTTCAAGATTAAGGGACGGTAATATTATAATGAGATCCCTTTGCCACGTCACCAAGGGAGCGAAATCAGACTCGCTCGTTTTCTCAGACGCTTGCAGAAACAGCGTATCTAAAAGTATGAGAAAACAACAAACAAAAAATATACCATTAAGAGCCGTGTGCTGCTTGCACAGGTTATGCGCGATCCTCTTCTCTAATACTCTCTGCGTAAGCAATATAGACAATGCCATTGTTTACAATACAACCGGAGCACATGCCGCTGAGGTGAGGGGTGGGACGTTTAGATGCGCACTAGAGGCGGTTTAGCCAATCACAACACACTGGGCCAGCTAACCAATCAGAGCCCATCGCCTATTTCTGAAGGAGGGGCTTCATAAAACCAGGAACTCATCAGAACGTTTATCAGAGAAGAGACAGAGCGGTGTAGAATAAAGGTAAATTATGTGAAAAATAACATGTTTTTTAAAGGGGTCATATGATGCTATTTTAAAGATCATTATTTGGTGTATTTGGTGTAACAGAATATGTTGACATGCTTTAATGTTCAAAAAACACATTATTTTTCAAA